GTGTGTGTGTGTGTGTGTGTGTGTGTGTGTTTAAACAAACTTTTTTGTGATTTCCTAACACGCAGAATCGGACAGTCTGTTAAAAACAATTTTTTCCCATCATCTTTAAGATAAAAAATATATAATAATCAATAATTTTCATACATATGTCAATTTAATTAATTTTACTGATGTTGTTGTCAAACTAGAACTATACTGTGCTGCAAAAATCTCACTGTGATGACAATAATGTTGACTATGATCCATTACCATTGTTTTGAACTAAAATGTTTCTTTTTTTGTCGTATTAAAAAATAAAAAACGTAAAAATGACAGTGAACCGACAGTGTACGTGTGAGTGTGTTTGTCTGTGTGTCCACATCTAGGTGAGTGCACAAGTATGAGTCAAAGCAAATAAGATGTCCCTTTAAGACAGCAGCGCCTCTATTTTTTCCAGTGTTGTAATGAAATGAAATGTGTCTAATGTGCAAGAGCAGGGACAAAAGCGACTGGAGTGAGAGGGTGTTTCATCTGTGCTTGTGGAGCTCCACGAAGCTTTGATGTGAGAGCTCTCATGTAGTGAAGCATGGATCTGGGCACAAGGAAAAGGACATCACTTGACAGGTACAAAGCATGGCTGATAGCGGTCACGGGTGCATGAAGTGAGGAAAGTGGGTGGCATGGTTAGGTGAATTGTGGGTTGTATGCATTGTATGGGTATTATCAGCTGAATAAGACCAGACAATTTTTTTAATCCAATACTTTTCTGTTGTAAATCATTTTATTAATCAAAATAATGTTATTTGTATTTGTTTAAATTGTCTCTTATGCAGTCTTCTCGATGCATTACTTGATAAGAGACAGGTTAAGATCAGTTTTTTTTATTAACTTTTTTCCACCATGTTTAAAAAAATAAAGCTTGCAATTTACTAAAAAGTGTCGGCTGACACGCTTAAAAGCATGAACCGGCAGTACTCTCAGTAAGAGGAAAATGAGAGGAAAGGATACTTGCTGACCACAGTTAGGTTTGAGATATGAACAAAGTACAACGGCTAACTGTGTAGAATGGCAATGTGAAAAATAAAAAGAAGCTGTGGTGTCGTGCTAGAAGTTGGAATGACAAGAAA